CGTGTGTAGCCGGCAGCCAGCGTGAGCGGCCAGCAACCAGTGTGAGCTGCCAAGAGCCACTGTGAGCGGCCGTCCAGAGGCCGGTGACCAATCTGTCTCATCCGGGAAAAGTGCAATGATAATACCAACACGGGCCAGTGAAGCAACGTCCTCCTCAACTAGACTGAAGAACAAAAAGACAGCAACTTGTCTGTTCCCCTTCCCCCAATTCCCCAACCTGTCCCCCTCTCCCAACTCCCCAATAAAATCTTAAAAAATAATAATAATAATAATTTTTTATTATGGAAAATACACCACACAGGCATTCTGTATCATGGTCCTTGAATGACAGATTCAGTAGTACTTTCAAAGCAACAGTCCTAAGCTTTCCTAGAGAATGCCAACAAGGGGCCTATGTTCAGCCATGTTAGCAATCACATCTCTTGGGCTTCAAGAGGGGCGACTTCCCACAAAAATTAGGCCAGAGCTACTTTTGGACAGAGTTCAGGATAAGTGATGATATAGTAATAGCAACAAACTTAGGGATTCCAGAAAATCTTTTTCCAGATAAGGCAGAATTAGAACCCAATTACACCAGCCAACAACCAATTAATTGTTTCTAATCACCTGTCATCTATAAATAGCAAATAGCACACTATGTTGAGACAACAGCTTACCATAATGAGAATCTATTCTCACCATACTGTTTCTTATCAAAACACTCATAGAAGGGAGTAAACATTTAATGAACAAGTCTAATAGGTGAAATAGATGAGATCTTAAAGAAACTCCCCACAAAAAAAGCCTGTCAGCTCTCACATTCCCCAGGTGAGCACTCAGGGCAGCGATCAGTGAACTTCAGCCTACAGGCCAACTCCAGCTTACAACCTCTTTCAGCCGCCCTTGAGCTAAGAATGTTTTTTACAATTTTAAAGGGTTGAAACACACACACACACAATATGTGACAGAGACCATATATAGCCTACAAAACCTAAAAATGTTTACTATCTGGTCTTTTATAGAAAGAGTTTGTTGACCCCTGATTTAGAGTGAGAGACTTTAAAATAATCCAGTGTATTAGTACCCAGATGAACTAACAATCAAGCAATTAACATCTAAGCTGCTCTCTCCATCCCTCACCTGGTGCTTCCAAGTCTGTGCCTTCATAGCTCCTCTTTTGTCAGTCTCCAAGCAGAAAGGCTCAATCTGGGTTGCATTCTTCACCTTCTTCTCTGGCAGGTTAACAGTGTCAAACAGAGGCAAAGGAAGCGCCTTGAACTTGGGCACCTGATAGGACAGAAAGATTTAAGATAAGGCCTTTCTAGCCAGAAAGCAATAGCTGCTCCAGAATATTTGGATGAATCTGAAAAATAGAAAAGGCCAGTTTTCAAAGCAACATGGTGTAGCAGAAAGAGTAATGGGTTTAAAAAGAAATCTAGGTTTTCCTCCCAATATTGCCAGCAATGGCAGCATAGTCACTTAACCTCCTGTGCCAGGAAGGTTATTAAAATTACTTGCCCTAGTTATTCTTCATAAGGTTCTTAAAGGGATTAAAGGAAGTCAGTGATTTTATAGTTAAAAGTACAACATAAAAGACTACCTTTGAGGAATCAAAGAATAGTATTATGCTACTTGTAGAAATAGAAACACCTACCTCCCCTTTCTGCAGTTCTTTTATTTTCTTCTCCTTCTGTAACTGACGTTCTTTGTCCCGAGAATCAAAAGAGAAAGGACATATTTCCACAGTTTTTGCCTCTGGGATGTGGGGCTTAAAAGGTACCCCAAAATGTGGCACAGGTTGAGCTCTTATCACTACCGGTTCCTCTTCCTAAGGGAGAAAAGTGCAGGTTAGAAACAAGACTCCTCAGCCTCTCTCACCGCCTCAGAACGTGGAGTCAGAAGACATTATTTCAGAGAAGTCATCAATTAAGGCAAGTCACTCAACCTCTTAAGGGTCTTAGCTCCCTTGTCTATTAAAGAGGGACAATACCTGTCACCTACCAACTCACAGGGGCGAGACCAATGTGAAAGCATGTGATAAAGGACTAACTGCATCTACTGTACTCAAGGGATCTAAAGTCTTTCACAGAAGGTTGTAAAACTAAATGAGATAAACAGTGTGAATACAATGAAGAACAGAAGGAAGGTACTAAACAAGCACACACCTTGGCCTCTTCTTTGACCCATCCTCCATCTAGATTCCACTAAAACATGTGACAGAGTTAATGGGTTGCCAAACCCAGAATAGGACCAAGTAAGTTGTTTGGGTTTAAGCTGGTAACATAAGATTACTGTGTATTTTAGTTTCAAATGAACCTATAAAAAGACTTATGCTTGGGATCTGCTATAAAATTACCCTAACTCTGGATATTTATAGATAAAATGGGAGATGTAACAAGAAACTAGCCTGACCAATGAGTTTATGTATTCCAATATTTCATGAACCATCACCACACAGTCACCTTTGCAACCTCTGGGTTAATGGGGATAGGGCAGGTGAATGTTAACTGCTTAGTGTGAATTTTAGAAGTCCTCACTGAATGACAAGAGCTCAGGCAAAACAGAGTGCAGGGATCTGCAACTATTGATTCACGTTACAATGATAGGCTGATTTTCAATGCTCTAGAAACGGACAAGCCTCCAATAAGTTACGAACAGTTACCACTGCAAGAAGATGCATACCTTTACCAACTGCTTTGCTCTTAGAGGAGTAAAAATGATGATCAAATGTCCTTACCCACTGTTAAAGACAACTCCAGACAAGAGTGACAGCCTCTGAATTCCATTAAGTTTATGAAAGAATAATGCTTAGATTGATTTACGCAGAAGGAAGGAGAAACCCCCACCCCAGGGAATCACCTCGTCGTTGGTGGGCATTCGGATTCTGTTCTTCAATGCGAAGGCTGGTGACTTGGGGACGGTGATTGGAAGCACCTTCTTTTCAGGAACACCCTGGAAGGAGTAAGTAACTGAATTAGACATCCCAGAACAATCTCATCTAGGCTGTGTGATGTGATTAAATCCCTTGCTTAAAGGGAAGTTCACATAGCAGGAATCAAGGAAAGGCTAGTCTTTCAGTATGTTGATATTAACCCAACTAAGGCCAAGGCAGACCTGGTCTGAAGTAGCACTCCAAAAGTGGGCTGTCGTGACAGAAGAGCAGCAAACGACAAGGACATAGCTTGAGTTGTATATTCAGAAAACTAGAATTCATCAACATCTTTTTTGGTATTTATGAAAAACACTCACCACAACAGAATACAAACTAATGCCAATATTTTGTTCCTCTTCTTTTCTATAACCCAATCCCTCCAAACGAACACCTTCCAAATACATCTAAGATTAGAGCAGACACCGTCCATTCTCTTAAACCTATTCCACATACAGCTCTACAATGAGAACTTATGTTCAAAAATATTACCCTCAAAAGGCAAATGGGCAAAAGGATTGGGCAAAGACTAATTTAATTTCCTTTTGCCAAATAAACAGGTAAAGATCTGAAGAAGCGGTTCACAAAGATACACAAACAGATCAATCTCAATAATTTTTAACAATATAAACTAAAACAAGGTGTTTTTCACCTTATAAGACTGAGTAATATTTAAAAGACTGATTAATACCAGTGTTGGCATGTGTAAGTAGGCACCTAGGTAAGGGTACGTGACATAAACTGGTGCGACTTTTGGGAATTAGCTTTTACATTTTTAAATGGTCATATTCTTTCACCCAATATTATACCGCCAGTATGTGATCTCTTTAGTTCAGTTTTGTTTTCTGGTCTATTTCAATACAACATTTTTTAAAAGACTAGAAAACTGCAAGTAACTCAATTATTTATCAAGAAAGAATTGGTTAAATCCTTTCTTAAGCTGTGGTACATCCACACAACAGAATATGATACAGCCATCAAAAAGAATAAAATAAATCTTTATTACTAACATAGGACAGTGTTCATAATATCAAGGGGGAGAAACAAGTTGCTGAAACAGAGATTATTTTTGTGTGTTTTAAAAATGTATATATAATAAATCTAAGCATAGAAAATAAAATCTGAAAAGAACACCAAGCTATTAACTCTCACATCTCTTTGAGAGTAGATTAAGAGGTACTTAATTTTCTATATTCCATAAGTCTAATACATTCAACTACTCCAAAGACTTTTCCCTTCATGATTCCAAAAACACTGTCAACATTTCAAATCCCTGCACACTGAATTACGTGAACCATAAAGAGCACATCACTCAAAACTAACACATTTTAGAAAGATGTTCTTTCCATAAGCATTTTCTGATACTCATAGAATTTATACTGTACCATGAATCTGGCAATTAGTACCAACTACAAAATGGTATCTCTTGGGCTGTTGTTTTGAATGAAGTATATGACCAGATCAATATTTTTAAAAATCCTTTCTCATATGCATATGTTGCCCCCATCAGCTCTCTATTCTGCTTCCTATCTAACTCTTCACTGCCATTCCACAAGCCTTCTAATTCTTTCAGCTTCTCATCTCATTCCTCCAAGCCATCTTCTGTATATAGTCAAAATTATTTTTCTAAAACGCATATGATAAGGTTACTTCCTGACTTAAAATTATTTAATGGCTCCTACTGCCTATAGTTTAACAAATATCTTGGCATAAAGTACAAGGCGCTTCATAATTGGGTATCTTGCCTGACTCTCCAGCCTTATCTCTCACCCAACCTCACGCATCACCCTCCAACCACAAGAGCTACTTACTGGCAGCTGCCAAAATATAACACTGGTTCTCAACTCAATACTTCGCTTATTCTCTCTCTCTCTGAAATGCCCTAGCTGCTTAGAAGCATCTAACCCTTCTTTTCAAGTCTCCACCGAAGCATCTCTTTATAAAGCCTTTCAATAGATCTCTCCACTTCCAGAACCTACTGAACTGACCCCTCTGTACTGTATACAGTTCTATCACAGTACATACAAAACCTCACTGCACTTGTTTAGTTACTCATCTCCTGTTAGCCTGAGTGCTTTGAGAGTTGGGGCTGGTATTCCATCATCCCTAGCACCTAACACAGAACTTAACAAGTATAAGGCCAAACATTTAGCAAATATTTGCTGAATGAATATAGTAAGAATAGAATTTATACCCTGGACTCTAAGACTCTTGAACTCTAATTTATACCTTGGGAGACCTCTCCTTAATCCCAGCAATGCTACAACTGCTCAAAACATGTTTGGGATGTCTTTCTTAGAGTGGCTTTCAAAGCCCATTTTTTGGCTAATCAAGGTAGTTGCTGAATCTTTACTTTTAATTAAATAAAACTGTTTCCAGATCTATTACGTTGGACTACTCTGAAATTTTAGTTCCAAATGACTTTAGCTTCTAAAAGCAAATTAATCTTCAAGATATAAAGATTTGCCATCACAGAAGAGATCCAAAAGACTATATGCCACAGGATCCAAGACAAGTGGCTTTTCCAAAATGCTTAGGACTATATCAATCATTGGAAAGAATTTATACCCTCCCAAGGTGCCACTGCAAAGGGAATGCTCACCCTATAGTGAAAGTTTTTATATGTTTCCTAAAGAAAGCCAGGATCACTAGCATAGTGAAGTTCAATATATTGTAGCAAAATTTGTAATCTGAGCAGCAAAAGTCAATGACATGAGTTTTCAAATAATGCTTCACATAAAACAACAACAAAATCTATTGTCAACAACATCCTATACAGGTGGACACCAACCTCTGCTTGAACATACCAGGGCATGTGGGAGCGGGAAGAACACTGAACAGGGAGTCAGGTCCAGCTGTGATTCCAATTGGTAGGACCTTGGGCACATTATACAGCCTCAGGCCTCACATTTTTGTTTTTTTCTTTTCATAAAACAAACTATCAGAAATAAATATCTGAAGACTCACTTCATTCTAAAATAATCCCTCTTTTCCTGTTTTCCCCCTCTGCACCTAGCCAGCAGAGAGATGTACATTTTAAAAGAGCAATGGAAATCTCTAATAATTAAGCCATAAAAGAGATTATTTTTTTATGGGATCAATCCTCATAATTAGTTGGGACGGGGGAAAGGTGATTTAAGAAAATCAACTTTGCGGGCCAGCCGAGTGGCGCGTTGGTTAAGAACTGATTTGGGACGCCAGAGGGCCCCGGTTCGGATCCCACATATGAGGGCCAGTGACACTGCCCTCCACAGCT